AAATGAAAAGAAAAAAGAAATTATCTCTAACAGATCCCAACGCATCAAAGAGGTTTAGGCTAAAGTCTGTCTCACGATGAATCCAGTGTACCTAAGGGCCTACCCTGTGATTATTTTTCACATCTAGTTTTCCATACATAATAGGACAGATAAACTTCAAGTTGGCTCTTGGTTTCCTGACATATGAATTAAATGATAGTAGGGTATAAAAGACTACTTACTGTTAGTCTTTTCAAATGTAATGCACTCTCCCTCCAGGCCAAGGCAGTAAACCAGAAGCTCTATACTTTCCTAGGAAAAGCTGCAGAATTTAGTACCAAGAGAAGCTCAAAAGGATTCAAGGATGGCAATTTCTATGTCTCCTATGTCATTCATCATACTTCTTAGGGTAGATAACTGTGAACTACTGTCAATTTAACCGGAGTACTCCAATTATTACTTCTGGGCCAGATTAGAGTTTTATTGCAGCAAACCAGCCTAACATCTGGCACTTAGTTTGTGGCTATTATTTTGCCAAATCCCTTTTTCCTGGCTCTTAGCAGTTGAGAACACAAAAAGCAATCCGTCTTTACTTTTACAAGGCACGCAGTATCCCTCACTGCTGTGCTGTCCAGGACTTGTTTATTTTCCTGCTACCTGGAAGACGACAATTGCAGTGAACACAGCCATCTTCATATTTCACAGGTATGTTAGTAGTCTTCTACATTGACTGACATTTTCCTAATTCGATTCAGTACAGACTATGTCACATAGTCTCAAATGACGTGATAGGACTGGCAGTAGGTAGATAAGTAGCACCTCATAATTATGAGGACTGTAGCATCAGTGAAACTCTCAGGGGACAGTGGTCTTAATCATGCAGGGGCATATCCTATAGAGTGAAATCTGAGAACCTATGGCAAACCATGTGACTCTGCAACTACAGTTGCCCACGATGAGTGGAGAATCAATAGGAAATGGCTGAGAATCATAGGGTTTGGCTCAGCAGAACAAGCAAAGTGCTTACTATCCAAGTATGAGGACCTACATTCTCATCCTGAGTGTATGTAGAAAGTCAGCTACAGAGGTGTGCTAAACCTAAATCTCAGGGCTGGAAGACAGAAAAAAGTAGGTTCACTGGGGCTTGCTAGCCAGTCAGTCTAGCCAATGGGTGAGCCCTAGGCTCAGTGAGAGACCCTGTGTCAAGCAATAAAATGGAGCATGTTAGAGGAAATCATGCCTTCTAACAGGCCCCAGTTGCTAAATGTTTGTTTATTTTTTGTAACCTTAATAGTTCCATGGGCTAGTCTTTAATATACAAGCTTATGGGACGCATCCTAAATGGATGTATGGTAGAACTCATATATATCAAGGATGAGGGACTGACTGAACATATTCAGTGAAGGTATGGGAAAATAAATAGGTAACAAGAGAAAGACACCAGCTATGGTTTTGGACCTGCTGCAGCAGTGGGGATAATATTTCAATAGTTTAGTTTACTAATCTTGGTTGTTGTTGGTTTTCAGTTGTTTTGTTTTTTGAGACAGGGTTTCTCTGTGCTGGAACTCACTCTGTAGACCAGGCTGACCTCAAAGTCACAGATATCTGCCTAACTCTGCCTCCCGAGTGCTGGGACTAAAGGAGTGCACCCAGCTCAATTTGCTAATCATAAAGGATGAAACTGATCACCATGTTGCATGAACTGGCCGTCTACCTCTTTTTTTGGGGTAGTAAGAGTCTCTTGCCCTCATATAAGAGCTAGGACAGAAAAATCAGTCCAATGAAAGGGATACTGTAAACAAGACGCAGCTGTGGGTCACTCTAGCTCTTTCTGTCTCATCCCTCTCAAAGTCAAGTGTTGGCATGGCTTTTGGCTAGTCAACTGTTCCCACAGCTGTTGAGGCTAAATTACTGCAGCTGCCACCGTCATTGCCATCACTGAGCTGTCCCCATTTGAAGCACCAGATAATAAGGAGACCGGTGCACTAAGGGGCTCCAGCTCTGCAGTGGATGTCTGGAAGGACTGCAAAGAACAAGCTAGACTCACACAAGTTTATCCCTCATAGGGTCCACTGAAAGTGGAGGGAAAGGATGAAGGACATAGTGGCATGCACCTACCCCCATCCTCCTTCCCTCCTGCAAGCTGCTCTTAGATGCAATCTTTCATGTGATTTCTTTGGAGTCATCCTATAACCCTAAATGGCTGACCTTTTAGGCTTCTCAGTAACTTGTATTTTCCTTCCATGCCTAGTCCTCTTTCCACCCCCATTCTCATTTTCCTGGGAATGTTTCCTCAACTTGCAGTAATTTTAGCTGGTTAGAATTTGCTGGGGATTTTTAGATTAAGATTTTAGCTAGTTTTGCTTTTAGAAGCAACTTGTGGGCTGGCAAGCAGCTCAAAGGGTAAAGGTGATTGTCATGCAAGTCTGAAAACCTCGGTTGATCCCTGAAATCCACATAAAGGTGGAAGAAGGAAGCTAATTACACAAAGCTGTCCTCTAACTTCTGCAAAGGCACTATGGCATGTACACAAACCAGAAAAAAAATAATTATTCAGATCCAAGCATAGAGCATACTATTCACCTGTTTCCCTATATCTTTAACTTTAATATGTGTGGTAGCTAGTCATCTAGACATGAAACAGCACCAACCATCTTATCACCTCAACCATCTGGTAGAACCATAAAGACAATCTTTATCTTCATACCAGGAAACAAGTAGCTGCCTAGAGTGGTTGTTAACTACATGTCTACTAACGTCTTCTGAAAGGGCAATGTGTATAGGGGAAGCAGACTAACTAATGTAAGAGATGGAACACTCCTGCTTAGCTTCTCCCTTTCCCACCAGGACCTTGAGCAAATCGCAGAGTGAGACTCACTTTCTAAGTCTATGGACTAGGAATAAGATCATCTCTTCACAGGACTACTGCAAGCACATGAGATGTCCCAAATGTAAAACTCTGTGCTGCAGTGTGCTGTACGATGCCAGCTGCTTTACAGCAAGCCACCAAGTAACCTCTAAATTAAAAGGGGACAAAAGAAGGGAATGGATAGAAACAGGGCAAAGTTACCAACATGGAGAAAGATCAATGGTCATAGCCACACAAAATGTTTGGAACCAGGTCCCATTCTTCTGAGAGTACAACAAGCAGGTACCATGCATGCTGTTTTCTTTCACATTTCCCTAAAACTTTTCATTTACCAATTTATCTAACATTTAATAGATGCACATACATGCCGGATCCTAAACTAGGAATAGGCCATGAGCATGGTCACTGGTCCATGGTTTATGGAGGAAAGATAGGTGTGAGTATGACAACATAGTACTGTGGAAACTGTAGTGCATTGGAGCTTCAATCATTCCAGGAGAATTGAGCAAACTATGCAAAATTATAGAACCTTATTTTATGACAGGACCAGATAAAGGATTTTAAGTCAGAAATGTTGCTTGGTCAGATTCATGCTGAGCAATTTTGCTTCAGTCCTCTGCAGATGTTGTCAGTTACAAAGAGCACTTTAACAGTGGCCCCACTACTCAGACTTGGAACATGCAATGCGGCCTCTAACAAAAAAGCAGCAAGGATACTTTGAACCTCCACAGGGCTTGTCCTAAGTAGGAGTTGCAGAGACTAGCAGCTTCCCACGCATTCGGTGTTGGAAATCTTTGCTAATAGATACCTTGATTGAGACTTCACTTGTGTGGTTTCCTTGGGACTGAGTCAGTGTTGTATCTATCCAATTGCTGAACGGGTGAAATCTTAATGAGTAGGATCTGAACATCAGATGCTTTTATTAAAACGGAAGTTTTATTTCCTCCTCTTGGTTATTATGCAATTCTCAAATGACTACTATGAAACTGGATTCCCTTCTTTTCCTGTGTTCTGTCTGTTAGTAGAAGACTATAGCATGTGTGTGGCAAACAAAACAAAAAACCATGGACGCCATGAGGACTCCTGTATTACCCAGCCCTTGGTTCTAAACATTCACATTATGACAAGACACATGATTTTTCTTTTCTGATTTTTTTTTCTTTTTTGACTAATGATTCTTTAAGTCCTAAAAAGCAGCCAAAGTCTATTCATAGCAATTTAATTTCAATAACTCTCAATTACATCAAGGCCTACTAAAATAAAAATAATAACAAATGAGGCAAGGTGTCAGGACAGAACATTAGAGGTTCAAAGGCCCCAAGACAGAAAGACTTCAAGTTCATTAAGGGCATACAAATGGGGTTTGGGTCATCTTGATACACCTGCCTCCAACAAATTTCTAGTGTTTGTGAAAAAATAATGACTCCCAGCATTAGGGAAAAGCAAGAGATGGCAGCGAGGGAAGCAGAGACTGACTACTCCCCACACCACAAACCCATGTGCATGCGTGTACACACACACACACACACACACACACACACACACACCAACACACCAGAGCACAGAGCATCTCACTTTCCCCAGGTTAGTTACCACTACCACCACTGGACTAGCTGCCAGGAATTATTTTCAAACTTACAAATCCATACCAAATGCACACAAATCATTCTATCTGATCTGTTTAAGTTATCTTACAAATACGCTCTTCAGTATAATGATGAGGCTGGAGAGATGGTTCTGTGGTTAAGAGCGCTTGTTGCTCTTACAGAGGACCCAGGTTCTGTTTCCAGCATCCACATAGGGCAGCTCACAATTATTTGCTAATTCCAGTTCCAAAGGATCCACCTCCCTCTTCACCCCCCTGAAGTACCAGACACACATTGCACACACATACAAGCAAAACACCCATAAACATAAAATACATGTATCTAAAAGTTGAAAACAAAAATGGGTATTTCTTCAACATAATGAAGATGCCCAGAGACATAAACTGCTGTGTAAAGCCATCCCTGACAGTGAACATTCTCAATTCTGCTACAAGTACATAGAAAGGAAGACAAATCCAAGCACTCCTCCCCCCTCATCCAACAGTTAACACACATACTCCAGCTGTGGTCTTACTTGTTTTTGTTTTATAAATAAAACCACAAAGTGTTCAAAAATCTGTTTTAATTATATTTTTATGAAGTCCAGCAGGAACATCATTGTAATTCATGGTACAAAAAGCAAATGACACCTGAACATGCAATAAAAAAATGGATTCACAATGAAAATAATATATGTCAGTACTAAAATATAGTTACTTGGTTCCCTAAAGGGAAAAGGTTTCTTTTAATTATCTATTCACTTGGATTATGAGAAAATAACTGTTTTTTCTTGAAATCTTTGGGGAAATTTTCTGCTTGTACTACTCTGAGTTTTAAGTCTAATGTAAGGTCTGTCTCTGTCCTTCCTTCCTTCCTTCCTTCCTTCCTTCCTTCCTTCCTTCCATTTTTCCTTCCTTCCTTCCTTCCTTTGGAGACAGGGTCTTACTATGTAGATGTGGTTGACCTGGGCCTTACCATGTAGATCAGGCTTGGCCCCAAACTCAGAGATCCAACTGCCTCTGCTGGGATTAAAAGTATGAACCACCATGCCTGGCTAAAAGTCTCTCATTCTGAAAGCCATTATTTGCAACCTATTATATCGGAGATACTTCAAAACATACTTCAAAATTATGACAGACAGCTTGGCAACTGGATTCTTGTTACATACAAAGCCATTAGCAAAAATGTGTAACAAAATTTATGTAAAACCATTTTTTCCTTATATACAGAAGATCACTTTCTTCCTTACAACCTATTCTAAAAGGGGTTTGGGAATAAAGAGATGCAATCCATCTTCATGGAATTCCCACTTTGGGTGGGGGTGAAGAAATCATAAAGGACAATTTAACTATTTTGAACACTTCTTTTAAATGAATTATAAAACTGAATCTGGGTCTTTCAATTCAGAAGGAGAATGTAGCTTCAAATAAAGAATCCATTCCTTTATCTTTGGAAAGTGTAATCTTAATGAACCCAACACTCAGCGAGTAAAAATGACAGCCTCTGGACTGTGACCCAAGGACAAGGGAAAGAGCATTTTTTTGTGCAACATGCACACGCTGTGACCCAAACTGCTGAGAAGTTTCACATCGAGGGCATGCACACATTTCATACTGACACAATTTACAATACCTTGAGGGAAAGAGAGCATGGGTCCCTGGAAAGTGCCACAGAATTTATATACAAATGAGTGAGGTGAGAGAACACATGAAGTCAAGGGGAGACCAAAATACAAGTCCAAAAATACATTTGAAAATCATCTCAAAGCCAAATATTATATTCACTGACAATGGAAAAATTCTAACATCCTATAGAATATCATGTAAACAATGAAAATGCAACTTTATATAATTCACAGCCTCAAAAGAAAATAAATTTCTGGTTTATCATCACTGCTTGGCTCGGTCTGCAGAACTGAATTGTCAGAACAAAACTGGTCCACGTAGCCATACCGAAGGGCAGCACATGCTCCCTCTGGGATGCCTCGGCCCTCCAGGCCACCAGCTTTCACGTTCCTCAGGTAGCTTGCAATGTAAGAGCCAGTGGAGTGTCGGTTCACGGCCACAGCAGGAGCGGATGGTTTACTTCTAAGAACCACTCCTCCTCTAGCGCTGTGGGTCACAGCTTTTTGCTTGCCAGCTTCTTGCTTCTCCTTGGCACGACTGGCAATGTTGCGTACTCTGCTCTGACTTCTTGACGACAACTTTCTGACTAACGCCCTGGGACACTGATTGACGTCCTGCTTAGAATACAGCACTTGACAGCTGTCTTCTTGGTCGAAGGACACGAGCTTTCGGAGCTGTTCAGTTAGGGCATCTAAAGGCTCTAATGACTTTGTCTTCATAGTCACATTCTTGTCTCTAACGCCGTTTGTCACAAAACTCCTACTAATACATTGGTATTTGCTTTCAAAATTGCAGGCAATGTCCTCTGATGTTAAGTCCCCCAGACTTTTGGATTTGCAAGGACTTGGCAGTTTCAAAGCAACCAAGGGAGCATGTGTTGACTGAGTGGGTGTGGGGGCATGCATATCTGGAACCCTAGACTTCTGGGGCACACAGATTTGGTTCATTTTTGCATCTGAACTTGAGAAGTGGTTATACACAAAGCCAGCACCCTGATAGGCTAGACGAGAGATACTTTGATTTTTGACACCTTGAAGAGTGTTAAATATTTCAGGGGTAGAAGGTAGGAGCGCCTCTTTACAGTAGCCATTCCTCAAGCCTCTCTGGATATGTTCCACCGTTTCCTGGCTGTGCTTTAGTTTTAGTGGAGAAACAAGTTGATTCAGACCCTCTCCCCCATCATCACAGGTTGCTAGAGACAGGTTTTCAGATTCTCCATCAATTTCCACAAGGCTGCTCTCTGCAGAATTTACACAGAAAGCAGAGTCTGCTATTACATCTTCCAGGTTCAACTCAGTGGAAAGAGCAGGGCCATTCATCACTTGTCTCTGGTCCTTCCCATGAGTGGGGCTTTTGGGAAACTGGCCAGGAGAAGCATCCAGGGATGCAGGCAAGTTGCCTTCCATGACCCTTGCCTTGGTTTTATCAGAAGGGCCATTACCTGGCTTGGGTTTAGAGATGGGAGAGCCAACCATTTCACAAACAACTGCGGTATTTGCAGGTTTGGTGGTCTCCACACTAGAGAACTTGATCAGCTCTGGAGATGAGCACGAGAAGGCAGCCTTGGGTTTCCCCTGGGAAAAACCATGCTTGAAGGGTGTTTGTAGGCCCAGTGGGACAGGCAAAAGAGCACCTCCTGATGTCGCATTCATGCAAAGGAGATGAGAACCCACAGTAAGGTTAGCCCCGTGGTTGCTCTCTTCAAACTGGCCAATCATTGCTGAAATGGAACTGCCGGCCTCATTCTCATTTGTTAAAGTAACATCATCAATGAGATTGGAAACTTCGGTATCCTGAAGAATAGCTGTTGAATGCAAATCAGGGACGTCAGAGCAGAGAGCAGAGACATCGGATAAAGAAAAGGATGTTGCAGCTGGGACCTTGGTCCTGCTGCCTTCCAGGTTCTCCATCTCCAGAGCACTTTGAGAAAGAACACTTTCAGACAACATGCTTCTCCCTTCTCCTAAGCCCTCAGTATGCCCCTTTTCACTGGTTTTCAACCCAGAGAGATCTTGTGGTCCCTTTGTTGCATGATCAAGTGCCAAATACTGCCTTGGGGAAAGGAATTTGGGGGGACAGTCGTTTTCCTGGTTTAGCTTGGTTCTCCCACCCATTGAACCTGGTCCTCCATACTGTTCTGGGATTGATATGCTGGCAGATGAAACAGTGCCATCCTGTTGGTTGGCATCTTTGTGGAGGAGGGCACTGGAGGAGAAGGATAACTTTTTGTTGAAATTTGAAAACTGTGGGTCTTTTATAGTTGCTTCCCCCTTTCTTCCATCAGCCTTGTGCTCTGCTAAATAAAACAAACAGCATTTTAGATAAAGTATATCACTTTATGTAGGCACTGCTGACACTCATGTTTGTCTTGACACAGACAAATGGAAAATGTAAATCTGTTTTACATTGTGACAGAATATAATTATGGATAAGCAGAAGTTTGCAACACAGTGTTTGCGGGATGGATAAATGGTAAAATATTTTTATAGGAACTTCACTGAGCTTCCTTTTAAACATCCATTACATCAGCTGAGGATGTAATATTTCATTGTCCAGAAAATGTCAATGAGTTACTATGCTTTCACAGTGAGGATTACCTTACGCTGCTTCCTATTCAGATCTGTACTACACAGAAGCATGGCAATAAAAACAGAACAAGACAGCTCTGTTAAACAACGCACTATGGCACCTGCAAACAAGACACTATCAGCTTTCAAAGTCATACATGTATTAGCAACAGATAAACCACAGATGACAGCATTTTTAAAAACATTTTGGCAAAATATTTAATCTAACCAATTAATTTCTAACACAGTTGTGAAAGGTACAATATGTGCACAAAATGATTAATATCTATTGGCTTAAAGTGAAAAGATAACCAGTCACCAATTCCACATCTCTACTAATATTTGATATTCTGTTGATAATATTCTTTGTTTCAGTACAAAAAAGGTGTATTACATTCTTCCTCACTTCACCTCCAAAGTGGCAGTAAGATGGTAATTAAGGAACACTGTAAAAACATATAATTCATAACCCAGGATAGCTCATCCTATTTGATATATGCTAAGGCAATGCTCAATGTTCAATTATTTTTATCTGATTCTTTAATTGCCTATTAAGTCTTTTGAAGTCATGATATGGAGATAAAGAATCTTTTCACTAAAATATTTTCTCACTAAAAATTTAATCATCATGTAAAAAAACATAAGCTTCCCCAATTTTCAGAAAAGGCCACTTTTGTAGAGAGACATTTTTTTTAGAATTTTGGATTCTGCTTTTTCTCTACTTAATTTTTTCTGCAATTATCTGGGATCACTACAGTGATTAGGTACCGTTCCATAGTTGCTGTAGGTTTAATGCATATGATTAATTCTTATATCTTTTTAAATGTAGGGGAAAAAAAGCATTGCCTTGCTGCTGCTTCCCAGCTCATCCTGGCTTCTCATCTTCTGTAGTGATGACTAGTTAGTACACACTTCTACTGGACATAGTTTTACTTTGCTGAAATAGGTTTTTAAGATAAATTTAATGCCACATATGTCCTCTCTTCTCTGGCACAATTCTTACCAAAATTTTGAACATTTTTCCAGTACTAGGTAGACTGGGCTTTGCAAACTAGGAAATTGTCAAGTTTTGCCTCTTCCCTTTCTTCTAATAAAGTATTCAAAAACTGGCTTTTCTTTTCTCCCTAGAACATCTTACAATAAGAACCAATACAAGCAAAACAGCATTGGTGAGAAAATAAATCACTGAAATTTATTGCTTGGAAAAAGACTAATTTTGCTAAAATGCAAAATATTTACAAGGTATTACATTCTACTTGCTTGAGATAATTCCAGAAACAGTCAGTGGACACAGTTTTGGAATAGGAAGGGGAGTCATAGACACAAATTCAAGAGTTCTTTGTCACTTTGTAAATTGGTCATGGCTTGTCATCAGGTTGCTCGAATGAGTCCAAGTTAAGGAAAAAGATGGTTCCCAATTCCTACACTTGCAGAGCCTGCAACTAAGCAAGAGCCATGGACGTGTCTCTTTCCCTGCTACTGGGTAGATCTGGAAGTGAGATCATAGGAGGAAAATGCTGCCTCAACCACACTTTAAGAAAGGAAAGGTTTTCCAAGTGCAGCCAGCGACTGGCTTTTAACAGTGTCCTTTCACCATAAACATTTCCAACCACAAAAACAAATGTTTTACATAGTGAAAAGTGATGCAGCTGAATTCAATCCAAGAAAGACCAGGATAGGTCTGTCCCACCTTGGGAAAATTAAAAAAAAAATGAGACCTCTCTAAGCCCTTGTCCATGATCTAGAAAGAGACCACTCAGAAAACTAATATGCTATTTGTATTTTGTAGGTTTCCCATCCCTCTCAAATCGGCATGCCCGAGGCCATCACCTCGATGCTCCTCCACTTTCTCACATATGGAAATGCTATTTCAAGGCCATGGTACAGGAGGAAATAGCTTGCTGTCTACTCTCTTACCCAATGTATAAAATCTTGCATTGAATTGACATAAAAAATTGTTTATTTTTCAGAATATTTTAATTGCAGAATGGTAGCCATGTTGCAATGAAAACAAGGGACAAAAAGCAGCTTAGAGAAACTGAAAGCATCTTACCCAGAGAATTTTCTTTTCCATCTGTGTCTTTTGTTGCTTCAGATATAGGCAGTGACAAAGCCCCCAGCAGACTCTTGTCAACAGGCATAGAGACAGGGCGTACTTGCAGACTCCGTGTGGTCCTCCTAAGGACACCGTCTTGATCTCTTGTGGCCTCAGAGACAGAATCTTTTATTTCAACCATTTCTTGGAAACCCACTTTGCTTTTTTTCCTGCCTTTGGCTGGAGCACTGGCTGTACGTCGCAGAATTCTATCTCCAAGTGATCGCTTGCGAATATAATGGGAGTTGTTTTCTGAAGAACTGTGCCTGGGATTCTTATTGAACAGTCCCTTCAGACCTTGGAGCTGTCTATTCTGAGGACAAAAGAAAAAAAGGACCAACCACAAATTAAGCACATGTTATCCTAAGAAGAACTTGAGTCTGAAATGGCAGTTCCATGAAGAATGAACGTGAAGTGAAATTTTACAGCCACTGATTGGAGGATGTTCAAAATAAGAAAACAGCTCACAGTGGGTTCATAAACTACCATGCACATCCCATCAACTTTATTCTGTGAGGAAGGCAGTCTTTCAAGTTCATGGCCAACCTTTCCAGAACTTTCCTACCCAGAGATGGTAAAATGGTAGAAAAGTTTCCATGGGTAACAGACTGACAAAACTTCAGCAGCCTTCAAGCAACAAATATGTGTTTCGAAATGGTAAGCAGAAGATGGAGACACATGAGGAGGCATGCCACCACAGTCATTTAGAAAGGATATGCCAGTGAGAATGCAGGGCCATGCCGAGCAACTACCTTTGTAGCTCCTAGAAAGTGTAATATTGTATAACTGGGGTTGAGGATTAAAGGGCTCCACTGCAAGGGAGAAAACAAGAACAAAACAAGACATAGTTTGGGCTCATTCAAGTAGGTGGTGCCAGTAAGCATAAAAGAATAGTGTGCACACCTGTATAAACCCTTCCTCCCACTCCTAAGAACTTCCCATCTTCTGTTCATTCCTTGTTCAACCCAATACCATAATGTTATGGTATGAGCATCCCAATCCAAACATACATTGAAAATAATAAATGACTCAAAACTGGTCATTTATTTCGGAATGAAACAGAAGTTATATAAAATACTTGATTTGTATTTTATTTCTGGGCTAAGTTTTAAACAGATGCTGTGTGTCTTATTGCTTCCTACCACCCTGATAAAAGTTAGAAATACTGAACTGGCTTTCTGGAATTCAGGCATCATTTTAAAATCATTTATATGTTTCTACTTAGGCTAACAGAAAGAGCCCAGCAAGCTGAATAAATAGGAGCTCAAGATTGAAAGTTTGTACCTTCAGCATTTTCAGAAATAAAAATCCGGTGTTCCCTTCTGCTGACTGATACAAGCCTAACCTACAGTCCCAACTCAGTTCCCAGTTGGATGGTGGCCACAGTGACACTGATATAAGCCAATTAATTGTATGCTTGTTTACTTGATATGCCTGGCAGCTTTCAAAGAATGATGAACTTTCTTATGAGGCAGGTACTATTTTTACCTCACATTTACACAAGGGCAGTGAGTTCACAGAGAACACTGTGAGAAGCTCCAGGCAGCAGAGACTATGGTAACAAGCAGTGTGGGGCAATCCTGGGCACTGTGCCATTCCACATCCCCTCCCAGTCACTTCTGGTCCTGAAAACCAGTAATAGGGGTCAAGTTTCCAGCACTTGGCATAACCACCTGCTGGTATCCAAAGCACCATCCCATTCTACAGTGACGGTAGAAACATGCTTTGTCTCCCTTTCTCCCCGTTTCACTCTCCCCATCTCACTGTCCCTCTGTCTTCTCCCTTTCATTCTAGGACCCCCATCTCTCTCCCCACTCTTTTCCTCTCTCCGTTTCTTCTGTGGGTAGTTTTAAACCCATTCACACTTTTTTGATTTTTTTCAATTTACAGTTTTTCTACACGAACATACCCTGCCAAGACCTGGCTGGAACCATAGCTAGATTAGCAAAGGCCATTCATCAAACCTCTGAGATACATTTCCTACTGTAGAAAATGGGGTCATTTTAGAATTACAATAAAATTCAAATCTTAACCATCTTCATTATTTTCATAAAATGATTGCCTGAAAGTATAATAGTCATCTCCATTCTATTTAACCTCCATTCTATTTAACCTGTGCAGAGGTGGACAGGGACATGGCTGGAACACTGCCTGAGCTTGCTGAGCTCCACGCTGACACCCACAAAAGAACACTTCATCAAATGTATGTTCCTTTAGTGAAATCGGTAACTATCTTGAAGTTATATTAGTGTTTTATGTCTATGATCCTCCTCACCTTTCCAAAGATCTCATTGATTGTTATGTGAACAAATATGGAGGCTTCTGTGAGTCCTTCCAAGTAGACATGCCGGTAGCCTGCAGAAGCAAAAAGAATTGGTTCTTTCCATCAAGTTTGAATTTGATCTTCCAGAGAGTACAAGAGAATTGGGTATGTCTTAACTATCATTCTTTACATTTGACATAGTGTGATATATCACATCTATCATATAACATGATTTACATAACAAATTTGATAAATATCCTATGTGCCCCATGTCATGTATTAAATCTTCCAAAGAGAAACTATTAACCCAGAATAAGCTGGACCCTATATACGTCTCTTCCACAGTAGAAACCAAACAAAACCAAAAAAGGAATAGCCAATCCAAAGAGGAAAGTCCAGCTTATACCTACCAGGTACTAGGCTGCTGAAGGTCACGGTCCTTTGTCCCACAAAGTCTCTTCCAATAGGATCATGATCCCACACAAGGAACCGAACTAAAGCTATTTCTGGCATGTGGACTGTAAATGTTAGGGTTTCTTCCCACACAGGGTTAAATCCTTAGAGAAAAAGGAAAAAGAAAAATCAGAAAAAGCAAAGTGCTTGGCTGGAAATGATTTAGTAGCAATGTCTGTAGAGCAGACAGTGAAAATTGCTTGTAATGGTTATTAAACTCATGAAAATGCCTGAACCTCTCCAGGATGCCCTGCTGAAGCAAAGCCTCTGCGTTTACCCCACTGCTAGAAAATAATTGGTAGGAAAATTGCCTGTAAATTATCACATCAATTCTATTAATCTCTGATGCCCCATTATATCAGGAAACTTCTTAATCATCATTAAAATACTTCAATAAGCTCAAAAATTATAGTAGTATTCTGAGTATTTTAGCAGAAACATTACAGAAAGCTATCCCCTGATAGAATCCTCTTTCTCAATTACCAAAGCTTTTCTTGCTGGAGTATCTAACCACCAAGGACTATTTCATACAGTGTTCTGTAACTTACAATTCTGTCATGTACATATAGTCCTATATAATTTCTACAGAAACCTTGTAAGAATAGCAGGGCAAGGGTTTGTGGGTTTCCCTTGTTTTGTTTTGTTTTTGTTTTTTGTTTTGTTTTGTTTTGTTTGAGACAGGGTTTCATTCAGTAGCCCAGGTTGGTTTTGAATCCATGATCCTCCTGTTTCCACCTCCCATGTGCTGGGATTACAGACATGAGCCACCATACCCAGTTTGTTTTTGTCTAAGTAAGAAAAATATACATACATTATCAAGTTTCAAACTACAACCTTTCAAATTTATACAAGTAACACATAGTTATACTTTTGAAAATCCAAAATATCTGTTACTCATTATATATTTAGAGGATTGCTGTTCACAGAAATGTGTTTAAGGTCATATGGTGAGCAAGATGCCCACATTAGACTTTGCACTGCACGTTCTTAGAGACTTCTCATGAAGGAAGAACTTACTCTGTTTCCATACACATTGTTTGCATGTGGTTTGTCCAATAATAATTTCCACTCAGCCTTATAAAAAGTCTCAAGCTCATTAAAAATTGACAGACTGGAAACCAGAGAGACCCCAGTGAACAAAAGAGATTATCCTTTTTGTTTACTCTGTAGTGACCCCTCAGTTACTTCTGCAACTAAGAAAAGAAGGAATAATTTCTTGAGCCCCAAGAAAATCCAACATAAGAAGGGCTTTCTTTAAGAATGCTATTTCCTTCCAGGTTCACCATGCTTTTGAACAACTAACATTCCTTGAGGGGCTCCCTATGAACCACCAATTTCTCAAATGTTTTGATAACCAATGATTTCAAATTATTTTAGACTAGTAGTTAATATAAATTAAGAAAATATGTATGAAATAATACTTGTCAAATATGGAACAAGCAGATACAATTTCACAAGATTATCCAGAAAAGTATGCTAGCCTTTCGTAAAAGTAATGCCTTCTTGTTGCTATTGAATGCTGGCCACTCACCATATTTAAGAAATGCATGAGCCACAGCATTCTGGACTGATCTTTAGATATTTTCATGCTCCAAACAAACAAATAAACAATAACAACAACAAAAACCAAGAGAGACTGACTAAACATGTGGGCCTCATGAATGAACCTTTCAAGGAGACTCATTTATGAGAACACACGAATCACATTATAAGCAACATACTGGGAAGTATTTCCCTAAGGAGTTCGCAGCCCACGTCTTTAAGATGCCATTCATGCTTTTCAATCGAAAGACTTAGCAAGAGTCCCAGGGGTCTTGATTATAACAACTTCATCAAAATATACCATGTTTTGATTCCAGTTCTTTAGGTTTTAACCAAACCTTCTTTTCTTCATTGCAGAAGTCACTGAGGCGTCACTACAGAGTCAACAGAAAAGATAATCTTTTTTGTTCACCACAGGACTCTGATTTTCAGTTATTTAAGAAAGCACACAGTAAAGATAATCTTTTTTGTTCACCACAGGACTCTGATTTTCAGTTATTTAATGAGCTTGAGGCTTTCTATAGGGCACAGTCTTGATTCCTCCTGAATGCATGTGTTTGGTAAAATCTACTTTCATTTTCAGAAAGGAACCAGAGTGCATGGATTTTATCAGTGTGTTTAACATACATGCCAAAGGTGGTTACAAATCTCAGCTATCATGCTTTCTACACAGGACATTTTTCCTCCCCAGTGAAAAATGGTGCACCTTTTCAGGGGTGCACACTGATCACCATCTTACCATTGTCATCCACCACACGAGTTTGATCCTTGCAACAATCCACTGGCAGTCCAATGATTTCAACTTCAACGAAGGGGTCAATGATCTGTAGAAAAAGGAGGATGTATGATTGCCAATGTCACATGCATGTGAGTGTTAATTATTCCATAAACTATATGTTCACCTTTCAGTAACAGTTGATTTTACTACATGCTTACTCAAAGAATGTAGATCAGGTATAGCATATTTAGATATGAGTGAAGAGTGGAATTAAAACATCAAATTCTGTTTGCCAATATTTGCTAATTCTACACAAGCTTTTACTCAAAGAACCTACAGTTTCAGTTCTGGGTACATAACCAACTGAAATAAGAGGGTCACCATGCACAGAAGCTCAGAGAAGTTACAATCTTCTGGTCAAACCCTGGAAGCATCTTAAAGATATACCACCAGTAAGATGGCTACATGGTGCCAATGTTATAAAAATAAAAATAAAAAACCTGGAGAATTAATTATTTTTGGTATCTCAGAAGACTGAAGAAGGACGGTAATAAGAAATTGCATGTGATTCAATTGAAAAAGAAAAGAAGATAGAGACAATTTGAGGATAATATAAAAAGATTAGATCTAGGTATTATATTAGATAATATTGTATTTTGTCGTAGATGTGCAGGAGAATGCCTTTGTTCTTAATCAATAAGTAGTGAGATAGTCACAAATGACTGCCAAGGAAAGCAAACATATATACCCCACCAATGTAATACTTACAATACTTACAACGTAATACTTACAATACACACACACACACACACACACACACACACACACAGATAGCACAGCATGTGCTATAAAATTTAATAACTGAATTAGTGAATTGAGGAGATCCATTGTACTATTCATGCAGTTTTTCTGGTGCTAAAGACTTCCCAAAATGAAAAGCTTGAGAGACACAAGAAATGTATATTCCTTTTTTCAGACATAAATAAGCAGAAACTTTCTAATGACACCAATGAACTATTCCTGCTGTTGAACACAGAGCAGCCGGTAAAAGCAAGAAAAGAAAAGGGGTCCATGGGAGACAGCTGCAGTAAACATGGAGGCAATAGCCCTGGCTGATGCATTCCTCTCTAATAATTGGGCACTGTGCTATCTGTTAATAAATACAGAGAGGTAGGAAAGAGCCATTATGAAGAGTGGGGTAAGCCTAGGGAGGTGAAGTGTGTGTGTGTGTGTGTGTGTGTGTGTGTGTGTGTGTGAGAGAGAGAGAGAGAGAGAGAGAGAGAGAGAGAGAGAGAGAGAGAGAGGAGAGAGAGAGAGATACAGTGCTACACTGCATCCACTGCATCCAGATCTGATAAAGTTAGACGCAAAGGATTCGCAGTGGCATGAACACGCAGGGCTGTGTGGTCCCAAACAGAAGATCAGATATGAAAGTTGAGAGGCTGAAAGTGCCGAGGGTGGTATGAAAGTTGAGAGGGTGAAAACGCAGAGAGCCTGGAGTGTTGGGTCAGCCATGAGAAAACAGGACTGACTGGCTAGTGGGGAGAAAAATAAAAGGTTGCTGCATCCTGCAACAGAGGTACAGCAGCTGGTAGCGGCAGGGCAGTCTACATGTGGCCACAGAGCATGAGGCCAGGGAGCAGCAGCTGTGAGGAAGGCTGCTGGACATGTGGGATTTGGACCATATTTCAGTCAATAATGAACTCAGCCTTTGTTCTTTAAATCCTGGCTGCCAGCGTTAATCTTGAACTGTGAACTAGTATCACGCCTCCAAGCCTCCAAAACAGGTGACAAAACAGTCCTGCAGGAACTCTGTGTGACCGACAGAAAACCAGCTCATGTCTGATAAGTGAAAAATCAATGCTCACTTAGGAACACAGACACAGACACATACACACACATACACACACACACCTACCTACCTACATGCATACATAGACACACACACAGATACCTACACATATACTCACCCTCAAGAATACACACACACACACACACACACACACACACACACATGCATACCTAGACACACACACACTCATATACAAACATCCGTACTCCCCAACACAGAGAAACACACATACCCCTAAAGACACTGAGATGGCTACTGAAACACAATAAAATAATCTCCTACTTAACTAACTAGGCAGTCAGGTGTAGCTTACCTCGCCTCGGTCTCCAAACATGGAGTCAGGAGGTTTGGGAAGCTGTTGTCCACTGATCACTTTCAGTATGAGCTGTTTTTTGGGGTTGGCAGGAAGAGGATCACCAGAGAAAGGGTTGAAAGTACCTAGGCCAAGTAAAGTAGAGGTCAGTATCGTAGGCACACACACACACACACACACACACACACACACACACACACAGCTTAAGTTTGTCAAAGAAACAACAGTGTCATTTATCACAGTGTTTGCTAGAACTAAGAAATTGTCATGTAACTTTCAGCACTTCCATAGCTATGTTTCTTACACTCTGTTCCCATAAGCCATGGGCGTGGGATGGGATACTTTAAACCAATGTCTACAGTGCAACCATGACATGGATGAACAATCTAGTTGAATGCCTATAGCATCACAACAAGGGCAGTTATGTCAGATTCCAATAATTTTCTAAGCTATCTGGGGTCTAGAACAAATACAAGGAACAGAAAGAAAACCTGACATTAAGTAGAACAGAAACTTTATTGTCTAACTTCTACAAATTCAGTCCAGTGGGTAACGCACCTGCCATGAAGCCTGAAGACCTGAGTCCAGTCCTTGGGACCCACAATGTTGGAAGAAGACAACAGATTTCACAAAGTTGCCCTCTGACCCCCATAGCATACATATAAACACACATGCCTATATTAATAATAATAATAATAATAATACATTTAAAAAATTTAAATTGCAGAATATTACCTGCATTCAGATACAGCCATGAAAATTGGCGCTTACCTTTGCACATTTGCTGGGGCTTGAGAATGTAGCCACAGTTGCCATTTGCCTTGAATTTTGCCCGATTTAACTGCATCATTCGTCCTTCAGACTGGTAGTTTAGAGCCACTGGGAAAATTGAAAGTTTGAGAAGATTAGAAACAACTTACAATTGTCAAGGTAGACAGACAATGCAGAGGCCCACTCCTCTCGGGTCATACATACCTAGCTGGCAGCCTGCATTCCAATATGGCAGAGGGTTGAAGTTACTGGAATCGATTCGGTAGGCAGAGGGGTAAATCCTTGTGAGTTGTTTTTGGTTGTAGATCATGAATTGCTCTGACTTCTGCTGAACCACTTGATGTGCTCTTGTTTCACTGAAGGACAACACATTCCCTGTGGTCCCTAGCAGTCAAAGAAATACAGAATATGATAAATGCACCCAAGCCAACACTATGATAAAAACCTGGATAATGCCAGAGCCCATCCACAGCTCAAAGCAGAAGTGGCTCCAACCTGTCACATGAAAAGACTTTAGACAGACCAAATCCACAAAAGACCTTCACAAATTAAAGGTTCACCCCAGTACCAGAAGGGGTTCAGTGACTCATTCCTTGCAGAGCAAGTTATATGTAGAACCACAGAAAGGAAGTGTCAGGGAAAACAAGACTCAGACACTCTGGTTGGTGGCAGCTTGTGTGTGCTATCGGAACCTTCCACAGAACAGGAGCTGCTGTAACTGACATTTTTCACTAACTCAGCTGCTTATCAGAATAAGAAATTAAAGTCTCTTAACCCATCATGTTAGGCTGCAGCTTGTTAGAGACACAGAATAGGCCAAACATAAACAAGCAGGAGCAAAGCTTTAGACAAAATTCGCCATTTAACAAGCCACACTGTAAGCAACACTTGATCAAAAAAGACCCTGAGATTACATTCTTAGGACTCTGTTGCCAAAGCAAGGCCAAATAACAACTTCATTTGCTAAGGTGTCCCATTGTGGCATCCCATATTCTCCCAGAATTCAATTGTTTCATTGATTTGTGTCTGGTCAGCAAGAAGAGGCAGGAAGAAAAACTATTTTGTAGGTACATGATAGAAACAAGATCTTTGGCAGAGATACAGGTGATAGTGAATGAATCAAACTGCACATACAGCTTACTCCTTACACCAGGAAGACAAACATTGAAGTTGCTCATTAGAAATCCACATGTCAGGCTGGGGAGATGGCTCAGTGATTACACACTTGCCATGTAACTGTGAGGACCAGAGTTCTGATACTCAGAATCCATATAAATGCCTGGTGGCTGTGGTGGCCTGCCTGTAATTCAACCTTGGGAAGGTGGAGACAACAGAGCTCTACAGTATGCTAACTAGCAAGATCAGCCAGATTGGTGAGCTCTGGGTTTGACTGAGAGACCCCCCCACAACGTGAATAACGTGGAAGAGCAATGAAGGGTGGTTTCCAACAAAATACTCAGGCCTCTGCATCCTTAGGACTCTATATGCATGCCCACCCCCACATGTGTGCTGTACACATATAAACATGCACTTACATACAAGCAACATATGCCTGAAAACTAAAACCTAGGAAGCACATATGAAATACATGTACTAATAGACAATATTCAGAGTCCAAGAAAATGAAGAAAAAAATGCCACTTTGGAAAAAGAAAACTTGAGTTTTGAAGGTGATTTGATTGCTCATGAAGCCAATCAAAACCCATTTGGAAGTGAGGCATGAGAGAGACAGTGCCCATGCAGCAAGCCTATAATGCCAGCAACTTGGAGGCCAAGAGGGAGATTCCAAGTTTAAGAGTTGCCTGCACTGTAAATGACTTCAATGCCATCTGAGGCAATTTAGACACTGTCCTAAAATCAGCACAAGAAAAGGTGTGTGGACATAATTCAGGAGTAGAGGATTTACATAACAGATACAAGGCCCTATGTCCAAGCTCCAATACTACTAATTAAATAGTAGTAAATATTATATAAAATATAAAAATATATTAAAAATAAGGAAGATTGTCCACCCAGCTATGCTTATTAAGCATAAGATGTAGAGAGGTAAAAATGCATGGTACCTGCACTTGGGTTTCTGCTTGAACAACAAAATGTTGTCAATCTAGAATCTACAGATCTGAAGGTCATGCAGAATAAAACTTCAAATATCTAACATCCCCCATTTTGTCCCTGTCTGTCTCCATGGTGCCATAGTTGCTACAGACGTTTATCAAATATCATATCCTGGAACCAAATGTTTACTCCTATGTCCACTGGACCTGCTGCAAAAGGCCAGCCTGAATAAAGAGCAGGCTTGCCCGTCTCATTCTCACTCAGACTCTAACAAGGTGAGTGTCTGAAGCCATGGACATAAAGAATGGAATGGAGGTTGCTATGCTCAGACCACATCTGTCTGGCTTGTTTGTTGGTGATATGTCTGTCAAGTACCTGTTGCCTTGAGTGTTATATTCCCTTAGGTGTCCAAAGTTGAGTCAGGGACTTTCCATGGCCAGAACTTGAACTAGTGAGAGCTCAGGAGGAAGATAGAAGACTATCATTTTTTTAACCTAGTGATTTCTCTAGCGTGGGCCCTATCTCTGAAAATAATTACTAATATATATTATTGACAGAATACATAAACAGGGTTTATGCATCTCAACGAAACTAAAATTGCATGTGTGTGCAGATTCTGGTGGATAAAGCTTTGAATAGAGCAGGAGAAAATATACTTATTGACAAAACCAGTTCATACGGAGCACCACTGTAATCAATATCTGAGTTATTTTTTTCTGGTTCTCCACATAAACAGGCTCGAAGCCCTATCAAAAAGGTGACCTTGCTTACTAAGCTCACATTGATTTGTATTTTAACAGAATTGAGTTGTTTTGCATAAAGATAAGGCACATACTCATTATGTACTGTTCATTCTTCATCTTTTTAAAAAGTTAAAGACAAAGCAGATGAAGTTTAAGAAGTAAGCAGTACTCAAGATTATTTTCCCAAAGCTACTAGGCTTATGATTTCCAAAGAAATTACTAGTCAATATGTTCATTCTGTACCTTCAACTCCCTGTGTTAATCTGGGAGCCATGGACAGTCAGTATAAGAAATCATCACTTGCTAATTGAGAGTCTTAAGGTTTCTCTTTTCTCAGAGATGGTGTTTATTAAATTTTCTATAACCGCCATTGTTTCAAGAAGAAATCCAAATCCAGGTGGAAGAAAAGTCATCTTTCGACGGATACCAAAAAAAAAAAAAAAAAAAAAAACAAAGTGCTTGTGAATTATGGTGGAGAAAAAAAGAACTGAGTGAAGAGACCGAAGCCTGTGAGGACAACAGCCTTGTCCTGCACTTGTCTTTGTGCTAAGACTGCTGAGAAAATGAACGTTCTGGTTTCCATTTCACTCCACTAAAATCAAAATAGACTGAAACACCACAGGTCTATTTCTCCTCAATAAATATTTGGTAACAGAAGCACCACCAGGACTACTGTATCTCAATAAATGCTTGCTGATGGAATGAAATAGGCGACAAGGAGGGAAAGAATAACTAGCAGACTCAAAGATGAGGGTAGCTGTGACTGGATCCTCTCAGTTTGTACAGTTGAAAGCAGTGCGACAGGAGTGGAAAGACGGCTCTGAGTTAAGACCACTTGCTGAGAACCTTGGTTGGGTTCTCAGAATGGTGGCTAACAGTCATCTGTAACTCCAGTTCCAGGGGATCTGACATCCACTTCTGGACTCCACAGGCACCAAGCATGCATGTGGTATGCATACATGTATGTAGGCAAGATACTCATACACACAATAAATAAATCCTTTCTAAAAAACAAAAGAACAAAGGAAAATCCATGAGAACCAGTGACAATGAAATACGTCTACTCCTTATGTTAAAGCTTCAGTCACTGAAATAAACTACTTTATTCCAAGACAAAATGTTTAATGAGAAAATATGGTTTCTCCGGGGTATTGTTGTAGCTAATAAATTCACTCCTTTTGGTCATTCACACTTGAAATGGCTATCTGTGACCTGGCCATGAAGGTAGGGCAGATCTCCACAGCTCGAGTCTTGGAGTGAGACCTAACTTTGAAGCCTTTGTCATTTCATAATAATAAAAGCCTTCTCTGCCCTGCATGGAACATCTCTGGCCTTCAGGCAATCAGACTCCTACCAATAATCAATACAGCCCCACGTGTGAGCTCAGGATCATGTTAGCTATCATCTTCCTGACAAATGAGACTCCATACAGTCCCAGACATGTGTGGGAATGATCTGATCATCCACTAGCAATGACAAAGAAATGTCAAGAATGTTGACAAGAGCAGCAGATTCTTGGGCCTTACCATCATCCACAATATCCTGGGCTGCCACGGAATTTGTGTACACCACCAAGTCCGAGAGCTCTCTGCAGAGTTTCATGGTTCTCCTTCGGCGGCCCAGCCTGCAGAGCAGACACTCAAATTAGTGAGCCTAGAGCTGGAAGGGCTGTAAGCCTCTGGTTGCATCACCTTCCCTTTTAAAGAATGAATAAGTGGACTTCCCTGGGACTGAACGGAGCCAGGCCTGGAACCCAGCTCTGACTCGGTTTTCAGTACTTCTCCCATTTCTACACCATCCTAACACCTTAGTTTTATTCAGGCTCTACAGGGAATCTGCCTTTTTGAGTTCTCTTGTGAAAGGCTTAGTTCCACCACTGTCCAGGTAGGGAGTAATCCCAGGTATACACTAAGTAGGTATAGAAACATGGGCCACAATACCTAAATACCTAAAAGGACATGAACCAAAAATTTCACAGTGATTTGTCTTTAGAAATATAATTACAAGTATTTTAGATATTTTTTTTAAATGACTATACATTGTATTATGTGAAATTTAGTTTTCCTAGGAACATTCTAAGTTTTCTCCCTACGAAACATTCTTATAATCTTGACTATAGCCTTACATGTTCAACCACTACTCTTTACCACAGTAAATTCTCCATATGCTACCTCATTGCACACACACACACACACACACACACACACACACACACACACACACACACACACCACATTTCTCCTCTAGAGAACATTTAACTATCAAACACTTCAATGATCCTCAACACCATTCAAATGGCCAATAAGCACATAAGATAATAATCAATATCATTAGTCAACAGCAAAGCACAAATATACAAGAAGGTACCATGTCTCTTCTATTAGGATAGCTATAACTAAAAAGGTAAGTGAGTGGTGATAGGAAGAAACTCAAAACCTTATGAACAACTGGGGAACATAAATGGTGCAGTTCCCTTGGGAAATTGTTTGGCAGCTGGTCAAGTGAAAGAGTTAAATTGTTACCTAGCATTGATGTAAAATCCTGCAGTGACTAATCATGGCAATACTTTTTAACAACTGACAAAGTGGAAGCTACCAAAACATTCTCCAACTACTAACAGAATACATAAAATAAAGTGTATTCACATGGTAGGTAGTCAATAAAATATACATGCCACAATGTGAGTGAAGCTTGAAAACACAAAACTGAATGAAAGAAGCCAGATATTTGTAAAAGGTCAAATATTTGTCAAGTAAAAGTCTATCCAGGGACAGAAAGGAGAGGGGAGTAGTGACCACTTAGGGGTAGAGATTTTTTTCTTGGGATGATAAAAAGGTTTGAGAACTAGATATTAAAGATAAAAAACATGAATCCATGTGAGATCATGCTTAAAATTCACAAGCAAAACTCCCAAGACAGTCAGTGGCATGGAGACAATCTATATAAAGTTAGCTCTTTATAGTTTTCATCCTAATAGTGAATAGTTGCAAGGTGACAGTCTGAGGTGCTCAGGCTGTCATGGGTATTAGGGGCAATTCTCTAACTGCCTCAAGAGCAGCATGTAACCTTATTTTATATAACACCTGTAATGACATCTCAGTGGAATGCATGAAGAATAATGAGGCTTTTCAAATGTTGCACCTTCCCTAGCTATACATCAGACACTTTGATTGGAAATAGTAAAGGTTTTTGAAAGGTGTTCCTATCTGTCTTTGTCTTTTACTGTAACTAATATTCAATTTTTATGCACATTTCTCCTCTGCCCTCACTAATGAGTGTTTGATGCAAATGCATCCCATTAGGGCTCTAATATAAAGTCTACCTGAGCACTAATGGTAACTTCCTATAAGGCCTCTATGGATGGCTTCAATTTCTCTGTTCAGTAAAGAGACAAAGTTGCCTGCATGTATGTGTGCATGTGTGCCTGCATGTATGTGTCCTCCCACACCTATCTACCTACCCACAATATGGATTATGTTCCTTTGTGACTCCCACCAACAATGAATAAAGATCCCCTTTCCTCTCAGCCTTGCCATATTATTCTCATTTGCTTTCTTGATGATATAACTGTTCTGACTGGGGTGAGATGGATCTCAAATTATTAAACTGTTTTAATTTGCATCTCCCTGGTGACTAGTGATATCAAACACTAGTATTTATCAGTCATTTGTATTTCTTTCCTTGAGTGCTCTCTGTTCAGTTCCATAGCTCATTTTTTTTTAATTAGGCTATTATCTAACATTTAGTTTCTTCAGTGTTCTTTATATTCTATGTGTTAATTCTCTGTCCAGTGAATATCTAGCAAAGGAAGAGAGGGGAATACTAGGTGTCTTCATTCATGTATCCATTAGTGAGCTCACCAGATTCCAATGGCTAGTTCTAAACCCATGATCACCGGGCTTGTTTAAACTCATTGGACCACAAAACAAAATGATACAAATGTGGGAAAGAGATTCATAGGGAGAAGGGAGGACTGATAGAAGTAGAAGGAAGAAAAGAGAGGGTAGGGAATGAGAGCAGTCAGAACTCACTATATACATGAATGGAATTGTTAAAGATTAGGTTTAACTAATTAAAAAAGACAAAATTCAAATTTAGAAGTCTGAATGGAGATAGTGTGCACCCAGAAGGAATAGTCTCTAAATAAAACTCTCAGCGCTAAGGGCAGAGTATTCCCTTTGGATTGCTGGTCAAGGAGATTGCAGGAGCTCCTGAAACAATATAGCCTGTGACCATTGCTCCTGGTTGCCTATCAGAACTAAATGAAAGCTCTCTGTTCCATTCCACAGCCCATTTCATTGTGTTTTATCTTAATGCTTAGTTTTGCTTTAGTTCTTTGAAAATTCTAGACATTAATCTTCTATCACATGTATAGACACGGTTTCTCTGCGTAGCTTTGGAGCCTGTCCTGGAACTTGCTCTGTAGCCCAGGCTGGCCTTGAACTCACAGAGATCTTCCTGCCTCTGTCTCCTGAGTGCTGGGATTAAAGGCATGTGTCACTTCTGCCCAGCTCTTTGTGTTTGTTTGTTTGTTTGTTTGTTGGAAGCTTCTTTCTTGCTCACTAGCTTCCATAGTGCTAGTAGGTGTTCTGCCGGCCACTGCGGGAGAAATGTCTTTCCGAGCTAAGGACCATGTACCAGGCAAGATATGCTCACTGATGCAATAGTGGCATTACTATTCGGAGATAACCCCATTATTACCCTCTCTCTCTCTTTTCTCGCTCCTGCTGACTCATTTCTTCCCAACATGGTCTCCTTCTACTTTCACGTCTTTTTTTGGACCCAATGAGATGAATTAGGGTTATTGATATGAGTATGAGTAAGAGGTCACTTGCCAAAGCTTAGGACACCTATCAGTAGCTACCCTACTGAACAAAGTGATACTCCTTACTCCCAGAACCATTTACCTGCTCCTCAAGGAGTGGTAGAACTTTACAATCCCCTCCCTCATCCCGGATGGAGTGTTGAAGGTCTTGTGCAGGACTCATACTTTTATCCACAGCTGCTGTATGTTCATAATTGCAATGGCCACATCATAGCCAGAAAACAGTGTTTCCTAACACGCCTCCCAATCCTCTGATTCTTACATCCTTTCTGCCACGATGTTCCTGAGGCCTTTTGGAGCAGAACACTCAACAGTCACTACTTCTCAGCACCTTTGGCCAGTTACAAGTCTTTTCATTAAATGCTGCTTACTGCATAGAGAAGCCTCTTTGCTCAAGGCTAGGAGCAGTAGTAGTCTGTGGTTACAATCATGAATAGTTAGATAGCAGTTTGGCTACTTGTCCTGTGAGCAAACAATGGTAGCGGGTTTCCCTTGTAAGGTCTGTGACCCTCCTCAGCTATAGGCTCTTCACCACATTTATAGTTCTAGCTACACATTCCTTTAAATAGTGCGGTCCTCAAACTTAGTCAGAAAACAGATGGTATTGTTGGTTATCCCCACCTGACAACTACTGCCACTAGCTTGTGTTCAGTACCTCATTGATGCCATGTTCCCTCCACAGAGTGTCTCTCTATCTTGACCTTCACATTTCACTCCAACACCTTACCTTGTGATCTCTCCCATTCTCTAGACACACACAACTAAAACAATCAGGATCATAGGACGGAGAAGCCATTGGAATCCAAGCGGCAAGCATGAAGATGCTTTTCTTACCTGTACAGCTGACCTCCCTCCTTGCTAGGATTCAGAAATGTATCTTCCTCATCATCAGTGCTATAGGATTTAGAACGTGATTTTGTAGTTTTCTGTTGGAAAAATCATAGTAAACTTACTAAATCATCACATCAGGCGCATTCAAAACACACAGATGTGGGACTTGATTTTAATACACAAATACACATACATAGGCATGCATGTATGCATGTATGAGCATACACACAGAATGACCGATAGCAATCATCATATTACACCAGCAATGCAAGACTTAGAGTTTCATGCCCCAAAGCCAGTTTCTAAGCCACAGAAAACTGACATCTTAGAAAAATTATATTAGTTGTGTACTTTGAAGGTATCCCACATGAAAGAGCCAAAATTAAAGTATCTATTTAAATAATTATAAGGGAAATGTCCTTTTGTACAGAACTTTACTATTGATAAGTGATAAAAGGCAAATTTGGTTCTCAAAAAAGATATGTATTAAGTAAAAACTAGAATGACTGCCATTCTACCGTCAATCAGCACATAGTTTTCTAAATCAGACCGCTCCTTTGAGTTTATGACTCATTTTACCCTCTAGTAGTAAAATAAAAATTGCTACTCATAGGACATGAGCTGGAAGTCTCCAGAATTAATCTAGTGTCTTCTGGACAGACTTGGAGGAGTGTTCATTCTCACACTGGAGACTGCTCATTATTTAGGCAGCACACAGCCCAACAAAACAAATGATGGAGACCCCAGACATTGCAGAAAGCCTCCAGACCAAAAAAACAGCTCCTACCAAGGTTAGCCATCCAGACAGTAGACTTTGGACATTGGAGGAATGTGACTCTGAAAATGAGAACTATCTCCAAATCACCTCAGGATCACATTAGCTCCCAGATTTTCTCGTTCCTCAGAACTGAAGACAAGCTACAGAATACTCACTGCACTGATAGTGAGGAGCAACTTTGAACCTTCTCAAGTATTACTTTCATCCTGAGAACTTCAGATACGGAATCCCTAGTGTTCAAATTTCCATTCTAGGTTAGCTCTTCACCAAACTGGTAAAGTCGCAAGCACCAGCAAGCTTCCTGTTATACCTTAAAAGTAGTGTGTAAACACTGGCCATTCTACAGGGTGATTATTATCTCAACGATAAATGAGATGACATACAAAGCCATTTTGTAATCCACTGACTAACTTTCTAGCTAAATTATTACTGGTACTTACTACAATAATTTATCAACAGTCTCATGGATAGCCTACTATTATCAACAGATGTATGAACACATTCACTCTTCGATAGCTGAGATGCTTCTGAAAAATTTACCTTGGAATATACATTTTTATTATTTATTTTATTAGGAAATTAATAACTAAAGTCAGGGTGGTGGTGTAAACCTGTAATCTGAGCTCTTGAGAGGTTGAGGTAGGAGGTTCAGGGGGAGTGTAAGGACAGCTTGGGCTACACAGAAAGATGCTACCTCAAAAACAAAGCAAAACAAAACAAAGAATGATTAATGATGATACTCTTCCTGACACAGTTTTGATACATGATATACATGAGATTGTGGCTATTACACCTAGAATCTATTTTGATTATACTTTTTGTTTCATGTTTTGCATGTTAAGAACTTCAACGATCAGCCCCCAGTGGCTTCACACCTACCCACTATGCAAGTGAATCCTCGCTCAATTAATCACCCCTTATAATGAACAGTTGGTTTTTTTAAATATTTTTATCACTGTAACTAATTTCCCTAAATTTTCCTACTTACAGACATGAAATTCTATCTCTTACAATGGCAGAAAATTACTCACCCAAAACCTCAGTGGTACGTTCATCACCTAAAAATTAATAAAGCAAAATTGATTTGCTTTATTAATTTTTAAAATTACATTTACTTTATTGTACAGGTGTGTGTGAAGGCACATTCACATACACATATGCCACAGCACACATTTGGATGTCAGAGGACACTCTGTCAGAGGAAGTTTATCTTTTTCCACCATGTAAGTCATGAGAAACTCAGGTCATCAGACTTGGCAACAAACATTCTACCTGCTGAGCCATCTCACTGGCCCAGTGACTGATAGACTGTGTAACATTTTCACCTCTTTATTGTGGTATCACATATATTTGCAAAAGTACACAGCTTTATGTGTACCAAATGATGATTTTCACAGAGTGAAAGCACTCTGACAAGGAAGCAGACTCCTACCTGATCCCTAGAGTGCTTCTAATCCTCCCACATGGTCCTTACTTTCCCCTCAAAGGTAACAACTACCCTTAATAACTACTGTAACGCCTACCCTGTAGCGCTTTTTACAGGGTTTGAATTTTATACAAGAATACTCACACTGCATGTACTCTGAGTTTTACTTCTTTAGCTCAGATCATGTTTGAAAGATCCTATCATAGCACATAGATGTAACTGTGTCCTTTTGTGGCTGGCTGTTCAGCAGTCCAGATGTGATTTGCCACATTTAACTGATTCTACAGCTAATGAACCTTTGGTCTGTTCAGTACTTGTCCCGTTACAAATGCCACTGTTAAATTGTTGTTTCTGTCTTGCTCATAAACCTAACAGTGGGGCTACTAAAAGGTGGGAGTGAGTACATGTTGCTCGGCATTCAAACACTTGGGCTCTGTGGTGTTTTTATGCTCTCTATCATGGTTGTCCATGGAATGACAACATAATTGCAATTTTCACTTCCCAGACACCTCCGAAGGTAAGCCTCATTTCCCTGCCATGGGCTTCTTTTCCATGCTATCTGCTTTTGTAATAGGTGCATTTAAGCTTTTGGTTTGTTTTGTTTTTGGAAATGCCAACTGCCTGTCTTCTTACTTGCAGAAATGACTTAAGTATTCAGAATATGAGCTCTCTGCTGGATATGTTTATTTAAAAGACTTCCAAAATGCAACCTGATTTTTCATACTTTTGATTAATAGCAGTTCTAACTTTCAAAGTTGTTTAAATTTCAAACTTTCCTCCTTTAGAAGTCTTTTTTATGAATCCTTCAGCCTTTCCAAGGTCTTTACAATACAATGTCACCCACCCTGCTACTTACAGATTCTTTTAGTTAACTGAATTATGCACATTTACCACTGTTACTACGTACACACCTTGTGTTTTCCAAAGTTGGTCATCAGGGATCGTCCATGAGACTTCTTTCCACTTTCCTTCACATCCAGGTTCTGCATAAATAAAAAGCATAATGTAATGATTTTCCTTTCTTTTTGTTCTGCTTAGCTCTAGCAGGTGGCAGAGGGACCCTCTCTTCTCTTTCCCTTGTTCACACCTTTTCCTACTTCACACCTCTGACATCCCAATTTTGGCTGTTTCTGCTGCAAGAAGGGAACACTGTCAGGAATGCCAGCATACAGCATTGGCCCATGGCTTCCCAAAGCTGAAGTTAAGCTCTCAGCAATGGTCAGCTGTACTGGTCCTCCATTCCTATTCACTGTGTGTGTAAAATCAGAAAATGGCATTTTGAATGTCACAAGTGGAGATAAATCATTTCCAGTTAAGAGGAGTTTTAATTTTTGAAAGTGATCAGAAGTAGGTAAAAGCCTAACCTACCAAGTACAAAAAATGCTCACACTGAACACTGTAGTTTTGGATTTTTAAAGTATTATAAATAAAACCCAGTCATATCACTTTCATTCATTTAAGGAAATCACAAAGTTCTTTATCTGTGTAATGAAACCATTGCCCTGGTATGCTCTGGGGACTGGAATTTTAGCCTCTGGAGACTCCTCACATGGGTTAATTTTCCAGGCAGAGGTGATGAGCAAGTCTCCCCTTGTGTTAGGCCACATGTGAAGGTGGAAGCAGAAATGCCCCATTGAAAGGGTTCAGATGCTTTTTATGATTGTTGTCCCTAAAACTCATTGTGTGGAGACCTGCAGACCCCACCCACCAAGGACTCCATCTAAACAGAAAGAAACACACCAATAGAACAAAGGTGCGTAAGCAAGCCACTTAAAATGAAGAAGCTGATGGGGGAGATGGTAAAGAAGACCCCAGCACTGACTGCTAGAAAAACCCACCTACACTGGTGAGTGGTAGGAACCAGGGGCTTACCGAAGGATGTTGACTCACCCTTGACTACTTTTTGTGTGTGCATTGCCTATAAAAACCTGGTAATACTGATCATTAACCATATGAATTAGAAAGAACACAGACATTGGTCCTAGAATTGACACTACTCTCCCTAAGCTAGGAGAAACAGTATTGACCCCAAAGCCCATCATGACCCTTCTCTTGGTTTCCATTTTCTCATCTGATAAACAGGAGAAGAATGAGCCAGTTAATCTGTGAGTTCTTTGGTTCTGAGTCCATCAATTGGAAGGAGGATTATGACATTTGACCCAACTAAGATGACTTAAGAGTGAAAGGTTGAGTCAGGTGTAGATTAGAAGAAAGGATATGTGATCGGTAGGGTTTTAGTTGGTTGGGGTGGGTAGGGGAGGAAGGGAGGGAGAAGGGAACTGGGATTGTCATGTAATTCAATCTTGTTTGTAATTCAAATAAAAAATGATAAAAAAGAGTGAAGTTCAGCATATTTAATAGGACACCAGGCCAATAACACAGAGTCTTGTGAAATCTGAGATAGAAGTCGTTGACTTGAGTTGGTACTTTCAGTACCCAGGACAACACTCAGTGCATTGCATACATTCTCACTTATTTTGCAGAAGGATTTTGTTTCTCAAGCTTTAAGAGGCTAGACAGAGAAGTCTGAGATGCATTTCCCAAAGGAAAAGTGCTTAGAAACTGAAGAGGAGGGTACATGTTTCCTTATTGAAGGGTGAGTTCAAGAGGAAATCATCTACCTGCTTCAGGTGTGCATTTAAGCCTTCATGTGTGGCCTTGAGCAAAGCCCTCACTGTGAAACTGTCAGGATCTTCTTTGTCTCGGATCTGAGACTCCCTCAACAATGATTCCAGTTTTTTCCGAATGAAAGATTCTACCTGGTGCTCAGTGGTCCCGTTACTCTGAAAAAAAAATCACATAATATAAACAATCCCCCAAGAAACAGACTCATGTAGATTTGTGCCTTTTGCCCAAGACAACACTGAGTTTATAGTCTCCTGATCTCTCAGTAATCTGTAAGAAATTAAGATACTCATAAAACAACTTTGATTCCCTTCACCAAAAAATTCTCCTAAGTACCTGATTACCACCCCCCCCCATCAATTACTCTTCATTGGCTGCACTGTCCTCACACACGTGTTTAACACTATTCACATTTACAAAGTCTTACTCTATTTCATTCAGCAATGTGGAATCTGAGGCCTTGAGGAATTAAGTAAATTGCTTAAGGTTTACAGAGGTAACCGGTAAGTGAGGCAAGATTCTAAACCATTCCTTCCTGATACCTCAAGCTTTCACCTGAGGGCAAGCTGGGGAAACCTTCTGGAGATGAAGCTTCCTAAACCTATGTTGTTATAATTGAGCAAAAATGCTGTTTTTATAAATGTCTTCCTTCACTGAGAGGCAAAAAACGCTATAAAAGTTTCCGAGGTTGCTGACAATCCTGAGACAAAATTTCTTTCTGGTTTCCAACTCCTTGACCTCATTAGAGGGTACACAATATTGACTTGTGCTATGACCTTTGATTATGATTATTTTTAAAATCATAACTGATTTCAAAGCTTTCGGAAAACAAAGCAATGCCAATATCTCATCTGGAATCCCACACGGCACAGTATCTAGCCTCCATGTCTTCTCACAGACCAGTGGCCGCAGGCTGTGCGCATTGCCCCCTGTTGTTTAACTGCTTTTGCCTCTCCCTTTGTCCATATCTGCTCCACAGATTATTCAACCAGTTGCCAAACCCACCCCAGGCATGCAGAGAGTAATACCATTCCACAAGAACAATGCCAACATTATTTATAATAGTGCTTCATCTATCTGACCCCTGCAGAATAGATAGCTCTCTAATTCTGAATGTATTTCACAAAATCCCTTAAGAGCAAGGAAATATAAACATCACATTAAAAACAGAACACCTGTGCCAGGATGGAGTGCTACATTCCCTGTGCTTATATAACATGCATGAATGTGTTTAATGTACCCAATTAACAATGCATCCCACCCATTATGGAATCCGGCTCTGAAGGAGACACGAAGATAAAAAAAGAGCTTGCACTTGAGCTCATAAGTGAACAAGCACAGCTCACCAGTCACAGGGTTGCTAGGAAAGACATGCCATTCCTCCTAGGTAGCAGAGATGGTGCCAGAAATAAAAGGTCTGTCCAGGCAGCTAAGTGTTCAACAGTGGGGAAAGGAAGGGCATCCCTGTGGTACTTAGTCTAAACAATAATTTAAATAGGTTCATCATGTCCTATAACAGGAGTTCAAGAGGAAAGGCAAGGGCTTTGGGGACAAAAGGACTTGAAATCCAGAAGATGTGGATTTATTTAGCTAGAGTTCTGCATAAATAATACTTTAGGAATAGCAGCAATTTGAGAACATATACCAAAGGAGGACAGGAATCTGCAGATGAAAACCAGACACACCAGTTACCGTGGCAAGCACTAATCCATACACAGGCAAGGGTGCTGGGGGATGCAGTAAAGAGCACAGAGTGTTTGGGGGGAAACTTATTTTGATTAAAACCAACTTGTATTGAATTTCTGCCATATGGTAGGAAGAAAAGAACCCACTGTAACAGTCCTTGGTGTCATGAGAATTGCTCATACAAGTCAGTATGAGTCAGGTATGTGGGGTACCACTAGTGGATAGAGGAGGGGCACTCTACCTGCATTGGGAATTCAGCTTTTTAGAATGAAGGAACATGAAGGAATATATCTTAAAAGAACATAGATTTCCTGTGATAGCTATAATAAATGACTCCAATTTGGCAGCTTGAAACAACAAATTCATTTTATCATTTGTCTGGAGGACAAAAGTTTGGAGAAAGATAGGGCCACAGTCCCTTTTAGTTCCAGGCCCTTATGTCTTCTTACTTACAATAGCTCCCTGCATTCCCTGGCCTGTGAGAGCATAGCAATCGCTACCTGTGTCTTCACATCGTCTTCGCTATGTGTACCTATCTGTTGGCCTTCTCCTCTTCTTAGAACACTTGGCACTGAATTCATTCACACCCACCAGGTTAAGCCCAGGATGTCCGCCTTTCAAGATCCTTAACTGGAGAGAGTTGGGATTTTGCCCTTAACTGGGCTTCAGCATCTTGGAATGTTGTGGCTCGTTTTTCTTTTATCTAGACCACTAAGGCTTTGTCCATTATCAGCGGTAGCTCTGCTTCACTTTTTTTCCCATTTGTGTATTCACTTGAGTAGCACCTTCAGTTCACTTCACCTTTTCCTTTGTCTTTACAAGTTGGACAACTGTTTAGCATGGGAGGTGTTGGTTTTGGCCTGTCACTTTCTGTGCCTTTGTTCCTGAGATTCATGATCTCCAGCTTTGATTTGAATACAGAGGCATGCAACTTTTCCTTTTGCTGAGCACTTGGGGCTCCTGTAAGGCCATTAATTAACCTATTTTCAATACTGTTGTGCATCAGGGACTGGCAAAGCCCAAGCACAAAAAAAGAATTGAGGGATTGCAAGTTAGTGAACAGCTCGTAATACACATATTAACAGACTGGTGAGTTATGATATCCCCCCCAAACAATGAGAGTACTAACATCAAAAATCAGAGATCCCCACATGATGACAACATGATCATAAAGCTTAAAATATTGTAAGAGTTACAAAAAAAGGGCCAGAGACACAATATGAGCACATGCTGTGTGGAAAATTGGGCTGATTATGCTTTTTCATTGCAACATCGGAGCAAAAACACTGGCTAAAAAATGCAATATCTGTCAAATGCAATAAATGAAAGCTCAAAACAACATGGTGTGCCTGCCTGGAAAGTGCAAGTATGAACTCTGTGCCCGGCCACCTGACAAAGCAATGTCCTTTAACAGCACGTCATCTGAACCACTCACCACCCTCTGAGGGAAGAATGAGGGCCTGTCAAGTCCCACTCACAATGACACCGACAAAGAAAGCCTCAGAAGTGCATGCAAGCACGGCCTTATGATATTGGGACAAGCTATAACACTTCCTAAGCAACGCAGCAGCCATTCCTTTGACACTGTTGCAGAAAGAGATGAATTTCTGAGACAAGCTGATGCTGAGTTGGCTCATATTTTACCCAACCATCATTCCCTTTGTAAAACGTGGGAAATAGTCTGAAATCTCTCTGTAGGAAACTTGAGTACGTTTCACTTGAGGCCATGAGCAGACCCAACAGCAGAGCTATAAGATCTCTAACTCCTAGTATATTTGATCAAGCGCTCCTGCGCTTGGAGGGAAGGACCTGTGGAGTCAGAAAGAGAAAGCTTGCAAGGCAAAGCTTGCAAGAACATCTAGAATGCCAGAGCCAATCACAGAGGGTCCCTCCACCACTTCTTTTCCTTGCTCAGGGCCTCACAGAAAGCTGGACACAATGAAGAGCCGAACTGTTGACACGTGAGAAGAGCAGGACTAAAGCTACAAAGCCCAGGGTGACCGGCGCTGGTGGAATAGCAAATGCCTATCACAAGAGCTTATGATTCACTTCACGTCCTCTAAATGTGGGGATTTGCCAAAGGAATGAGAGTCCTGCCTTTTTTTCCTTTCCGAGATTTTCATCACTACAAAATTCGCAGCCACAAGGAACAAAGAAATATGCAGCTGAGGTTTCATTGCTGTGTTATCATTCAGTCCCAGAGCCCAACAGCACTCACTGAAAGACAATTCAGGCAGACACCTGACCTCGAGACCTAGCTGCCACTGTGCAGCTGTGGTAGAGACCAAAGATGAGACCCATGTGTATCTCATTCTTTTATTCCCTGGGCCAGAGGCAGGATGCTGCAGTGAGAAGAGGGAGAATCGTCATTTAACATGATCAGCTGTGGTTTCTCCCTAATTCAGTTTTTGAAGAAAATGAGTCTGATCTAGGAATCTCTGCTATCCATCAATGAATCAATCAATCAATCAAATAATCAATTAATCAATTACAGACACATTCTCATTTTCCCCCAGCACATTTTTCCTAAGGCACCATTTGGAAACATGGTTGCCCCACTCCAGTCTAGGAAGGAGCTGGGGGTGGGGAGAGAGAGAGAGAGAGAGAGAGAGAGAGAGAGAGAGAGAGAGAGAGAGAGAGAGAGAGCCAGAGAACACTGATACACTGATGTTTCACTAGACACTGGAGTCACCAGCGCAGTGGGCAAGATTCCCAGGTGACATGTCATAATCTCTGGTGTGGAGCACAGGCACTAGCACTCTTGAAAGCTCCTTGCCACACCTCTATGCAGTTTGGGACCTTCTCTTTAAAAATGAAACCAGAAAACAAGATATGGGGGCCATCTCTACATCCCCAAATGCCTTTTCTTCCCTGCTTATTAGTGCTGGACTCTAGCAACAGGAAGCAAATATCCTAGCTGCTCCTTTGATTGCCTTATAACTTCAAGTCCATTTCCTAGGCATGGGGTGAGATACAGCTGCTTTCCAGCTATCTGAGTCTGCATTCACTTCGGCCCTCTCCCACCAGTTCCTTTACTCTCCATAAAACATGTTCTTCCATTCAAGAATCATATCACAGAGTAAAAAGAACTGGAATCTTCCAGGCTACCTCATCTAATCCTTGTAACTTGTTGCTAGGACATGACCTACTGCTTAGTACGTGTCATTTCATTTCAGAGTGGACACAGGAGTAGCACAACCTCAGAGCCCCAAGAGATAGCTCAACCGTTCTATGAATGCTGTTATGTTTGATACTAACAACATTCACAAGTCTTCTTAAAATGTTTCAGAGGAAAGAAAACGAAGTTGCAACTATAGTTGTGGGGAGGGGAAAATTATTACAATGTTCAGTGAGAGCTGGAGTGAATAACAGTGTACAGTATAATGGAACACAATGGGGTGCACTGGGGTTCAATTTGGACTGAAAGGCTTGGTGTCTGTAGGATGAGCTTCGTGCAAGAGAGAGCTGCTGTTGTGCCCTGGCTAAACACAGATTCAGAGAGTTTTAAGAAAAATATCTGAAAAGATCAACAGAAAAAGAAAAATAATCAATGAAATTGAAATCCAGGAGAGACCCCACTGGTGCAGGGGGTCCCATAACTATGAATAATGGTGATCGGGCTGCCTGGAATCAAATCTGCTAGATTATTGTACTGTGGCTGGGAGGAAATTGTCCCTTAAGTCTCTGAGCTGTGTGATTCTTGGGTCACTGAACACTGGCTTTACCCTGTGGCTTATATGTCATGAGCCAGATTTACTCTGTGACTGAAGCTACAAAGTAATACAAAACAGAAGCTTAGAGGAGCCAAGTACAGCCAAAAACATTCATCACATAACAAAATCGTCATGGGGTTTGAACAGCTGACAGGTTAGGAGAGCCTGCCTCCTGCTCAGCAGGTAATGTTGGGTGAGCCACTACACTTGCTCTACTGTTGGCCTTGGGGTTCATTCTGCCTAGAACTTTCTCCCCTGGCTAATTCGTTTTTTTTTTCTTCAAATCTTTCATTAAATGTAACTTTTAAGGAAAGTTTTATATAGACATCCCCTCTAAAAATTCAACACACACACACACACACACACACACACACACACACACACACACACACACTTTTTCCTGTAGCACTTATATCTAACATATTATATATTTCAGTTATTTGCTTTGTTTCTTATGTGTCTCCTTGCTCTTTGATTAATGTTTAAATCCCAGGAAGACAAGAACTTTCATCTATTTTATTCACTCCAATGTCATCTAACACCAACAACTATGATGGCGCATCTCCAAAAGGAAATGCCCAGTACAAATTGGTGACATGCATGAAATATCTTAATAAGCTCATGAAAGTTAATGTCCTGGTGTCCATGAATTGTGCCAAAAGCTTTCTGTATTATACTGATTTAGATATGGCATATAAATCTAACCATATACTTTCAACTTACAGCTGAGGCTAAGGGCTTCCTTTACAGAAATGGCTTTGTGGGTAATGGCTGGTCCATACAAACAACCTACACTGTACTTTGTTTTGTAGAAATATGATCAAGCATCCTTAAATCTGCCACATAGCTAAGATAGCTGAGCTCCCAAGTATCCAGTAGAGTATAAACAGGCTAGTTAGAATACTCCTAAATTCTAAATAGGGCATTCAGTGTCTTTTCTCAAAAGAGCTCAAAAATACAGGAAAAGGGTTGCATAAGAAATTTATAGATTTCTACTAGAAATGGTGTGTGTGTGTGTGTGTATTTTCTTCTTTAATGTACAACAAGGAAGCCTCTGTAAAGCCTTTTAAATATGGTGCTGCCTAGCTATATTCAGGTCAAATGAATGGTCATGACTATCCTTGTGGGGGCATATTAAAGCATTTATCCATTTCAGAGCATAGAAAACAGCCAGGAGAATATGGGCACAAGCAGAAATCCTTGGAGGGTACAGGTGCAAATACTAATCTGTTTCCACAGAGCTGTGCTACAATGAAATTTCACAACCACAGACATTTACTGTAGAAAAGTAGAAGATTGTTAACAACGGTGACATAAGCTGATATCCCAGCTATTACAGGAGGATTGGCAAGTTCAAGGCCTTGGCAACAAAGTGAGACTGTGCCCCAAGATAAAAAGTCAAAAGAAGGCTGGGCGTTGGTAGCACATGACTTTAGTCTCAGCATTCGGGAGGCAGAGGCAGGTGGATCTCTGTGAGTTCAAGACCAGGTCTTGAACTGGTCTACAAGAGCTAGTTCCAGGACAGCCTCGAAAGCCACAGAGAAACCCTATTTCGGAAAAAAAAAGTCAAAAGAAGGCTTGGGACATAGTTCAGTGGTAAAGTACTTGGCCAGCAAACAACAGGACCTGGATTCAACCCTGAGTACCATAAAAAAGTCTCAACAGACTCAAAGAAAAACTGATACCGCCAAGTGGACCTAAGAACTAGCTCAGCTTCCATTGCAGGCAGCGGTTGATAACTGCATTGTCATGGTAATAGTAGTTACCACTTCCCACCTCCCCAGAAGAGCTTTCCCCAAACAGGTGATATGCATGGGCTTCTGCTTCCTCTTTCAGATGGTGGACTAGGCAGCTAGCAACCCAGAGATCTGAAGGACAAGATGCACGAGAATGAGAATCAGAAAGACCTGGTTTTTTAAATAAGACTTATTCATAATCAGAAGGAGTCAGTTACAAAGACAGCAAATACCTAGAAAATCAAATATTTAAAAAAATTAACGTAGTTACTATATTTTTCAGTTATGAAACTATCTAGGTTTTTGTGACCTATTAGTTATGGGTATTTAACTGAGTTAATAGAAACTCCTAAAAGGGAAGGGATGAATTCAGATCACAATTTTCACTCTCTTCAAGCTGAATCTTTGCCATTTCCCTCTTTAAAGCACTTTATAGCCAAGAACGAAATGTCTATGGGGACTTCAGCTGTCATTAAACTCTTGTCTCCTTTGAAAATAATGTCATCTACTACTACCACCTCTGAGGTGAGGCATCAGAGTTAGTGTAATTTAGAAGATAGTGTCTTGTTGTAACAACATAATTGTTGAATTCAGGGTAATGGTGTATATTAGGAGAAATTATACAAAATGTATCTGGGGACAGAATAATGGTTCTGATGTCCACTAAATACCACTTTTCTGTAGAAATGAAACTACACAGCAAAGCCTCCACTGCTTTGGGCTTGTTATGTGGCACCAGAAATCATGTGACCAGTGACAGTGACAGGAACAGCATTTCTTCAAATCTTATAATTCTGCAGGTTTAAACTGAGCCCCCTCCTTTACATATCAAAATAACTAACTTATCTTCTGCACAGAGAGTCCTGCATTTAAGAAGAGGTCCAGATCCCGGGGCAGATGGCTAACTTCAAATGCCACTCTACTGAGGATGTGGCCAATTGAACATCCAGCCAAGTGTCCCATTGTAAGAAGTGCTTGAGAATCATTGAGGTCAAGGCACACTTTCTCAGTGAGGGGTTTGGCATCTTAAAAAAGCAGACCCAGGTGCAGCTGGGGCCTGGAACCAGCCTAAGGTACCACAGTGGGCAGCCAGTATTTGGAAGGGGAGGAAAGGCCACACCTACTCATGTTCATCAAGAAGACTGACAGTTCAACCAGTTTGACTCCCAGCCCTATTATAAGGTTTGTCCCTGAAAAAAGGAAGGATGGTATAGTGGTTTGAATGAAAATGGCCCCCATAGGCTTATAGGGAATGGCACTATGAGGAGGTGTGGCCTTGTTGGAGGAAGTGTGTCACTGGAAATGGGCTTTGAGGTCTCAGATGCTCAAGCTGAGCCCAGTGTCTCTCTCTTCCTGCTGCCTGCAGATCCAGATGTAGAACTCTCAGCTCCTCCAGCACCATGTCTACCTGCATGCCACCATGCTTCTTGCCATGATGAAATAGACTAACCCTCTGAAACATAAGCCAGCCCCAAATTAAATGTTTTCCTTTATAAGAGTTGCAATGGTCACGGTGTCTAGTCACGTGATGGAAACCCTAAGACAGAAGGGTTCATCGCAAACATGCTTCTCAGTTCTAAGGCATAGATTCTCCCACTTACTCACTGCTGGGAGCCAGCACACAGAGTAATTTTAAAAGAACATCCTTTCACTCTTTAGATGCCATATTTGTGGAGTGTCCAACACAGCACCAACTTGGGGCCCCATTCTATCTGTAGTTAGTGAAAGGCAAAGGAGTGTTTAGCCAGCAACTCACATAATGTAGCTTGAACTTGCACTCATCTTCAATTTCATCTGCACTGTCCTCATCAGAAACTTCTCCTTCCTCTGCATCATCCCCAAGGTGATAAGGCAACTTCTTGCCCTGAAATAGATAAAAACATCCCATTTGAAATGAAAATAAATTCTCAACAGCCCCAAAGTAGAGGTAAACCAATGTCCATTGATAGGTGAATAGACAAAGAAAATCTGCTCTTTTCATTTGGAATATTACTCAGCCTTTTAAAAGAATAAAATCCTGATACACATAACAACATAAATGAATCTTGAAGGCATTATGCCAGATGACATAATCCAAAGACAAACTTTGCATATGGTACCCAGACACCAAAACCAGAGACAGAAAGCAGGATGGTGCTGGGGACAGGAGGCAGGAAGTAATTGGCTGTTGCTGAAATGATATGGTGGATATGGATGAAAACACTTCTGATTGCATAACATTTTGTGTATTTTTAGCAATACCCAATTATACACTTAAGTAACTAAGGGGTAAGGTACATTTTCTGCTCTATGAACCATAATTTTTATGGGGAAAATTGAGTACAAAATGAAGTATCTATGCAATGACCCATCATTACTTCAAATAGCTAGAAAGCAGATAGTCTGGAGGAAAGACAAAATAGTCTGGAGGAAAGACAAAACAAAGATGGGAAGAACTTTTATCCTAAGGACATCCTTACCTTAAATTAAATGTAATGAATTAATAATATTGTATCTTTAAAATTCAGACTAATGTCTGACTCCCAACAATATGCATCATGCCATCTGATTGTGCGACTTCCACAATCTGAGTACTGGTGTCCCCTCAGATGCTTGAACCTATACTACAGGTATTGTTGCTGACATCATGAATAAATCAGGCCTCTGGGAAGTGATTAAATGAAGAGGGGTCCCCTAAGTTCCTTATCTCTTCCATTATGGAAATATATCTATGAGGAGCAGACCCTCCTTCACCAGACACTAAACATGCCAGCCTGGCTCACAACTATAATCCTAATACTTAAGAGGTTGACAAAGGACGTCTGAGCTGAATTTGAGACTATCCTGGAGACCAACCTGGTTATATAGTGAGTTCCAGGAGAGCCTTGACTACAGAGTGAGTCAGGGAGTAGGAGCGAAAAAGAGGGAGGGATGGAGGGAGAGAGAGAGAGAGAAGAAAGGTGGAAAAAGGAAAGAAGAAAGGAAGGACGGAAGGAAGGAAGGAAGGAAGGAAGGAAGGAAGGAAGGAAGGAAGGAAGAAAGGAAGGAAGGAAAGGGGAGTGAGGGAGGGGAGGGAAAGAAAAAGAGAATTACAGAACCTGGATGTTAGGCTTTTCAGCCTGTAGAATAGAGAAATAAACTTCAGTTGTTTTAAAGTTACCCAGACTAAGACATTTTGTTTTAGCAGCCAAAAGACACTATAGCCCCAGAGCAGCCTGCTGTCCTCTGAGGGTAAAGCTGCTCTTGTCAGGTGCCTGCTGGTGTCCTGCTTTCATGGACCACTATGGAGCTTACACTATAGTCCTCAGGACCAGACCACTCTCAAGTCATCCAGAAAACTTTAGAAATCAGGAACCTGCCACAGGGGAGATTTGAGCTACACAATTGCATTTCTAATTTGAGCTATACAATATTACATACATCCTCAAGCATCCATGAGAGATCGGCTCTGCACACTTCCCAGACACCAAATCCCAAAGATGTTCAAGTCGTTCCTACAACACAGGTTGGTATTTGCACGTCACCCTTTATATATATCCTCCTGTTTACCTCAAATCACCTCTAGGCTATTTATAATATGTAAGGTAAACATAAATGCTATGTGACCTAAGGGAAAGAAACCAGTACAGGTTCAGTACAGACACAAGAGGTGGACAGTCTGTGGGACCCAATAGATCCCAGTGACCTATAAGATCACCGGAGAATAATTTGGAAGTGGAGACAGTCAACTGTTAATAGTATCCAGGGTTGGGGAGAAGCTCAGGGGTAAAACACTTACTGAAGCATGAGGATCTGACTTTGGACCCCCAGGAGCCATGTAAAGCAGGGTGTCATTAGCTTGTGTCTATTATCTCAGGGCTTCATTGTCAAGATGGGAGGCGACACAAGAGAACACCCGGAAACTCATAGGGCTGCCTCAAACAGGGTGGAAAACAAGTACTGACCCTTGTGGCTGTCCTCTCACCTGCACCTGTGTCCCACAGGCACACACATAGATGTACACATGCATACACACAAAAAATTTTAAGAGTAAGCACCTCTATGGGTTTTGTTCCCCTCTTCTGTATTTCCCAATTTACACTCAGAAAAAAGTTAAAAAAAAAAAAAAAGAAAAAAAGCCAAGAGAAGACAATGCCAAGGGGGTCTGATAAGAGAGAGCTGAGCTCTGAGGTAGCTATCTACATTGGTAGACTTCTGGCTTGAGAGCAGAAAGAATAGTAAGAGGATATTTGAGTTGCTCCCACAATATGTTGTAGGGAAGGGGTGAGCAGAACCAGGCTCTGAGGTAAGTGGTTGAGGCTGTTGTGGTGGGCAGCCTCCAAAATATCACCAATGTCTCTGTCTCCTGTCTCTGTCCTACTGCAATACTCTCTTCTTGGATGTGGACTGGACTCAGTGACCACTTCTAAACACAGAGAACCCAGAAAAACGATATTGTGCAATACCTGAACCTATATCCTACTTATCCTTCCATATTCATCCATCTCTCCCTCTCTCTCTCCCTCCCTCCCTCCCTCCTT